TGGCCGTTCCTTCAACAACCTTCGTTTTCATCCTCCTCCTCTTCACCTTCTTCCCTCCGACCCACCAAACTGTTTCACTCTCTCTCTCCCCAACCTCCCTCTCCAAATCGGGCGACTCCGTCCTAATCCAATGGTCCGGCATCGACTCGCCCTCCCGACTCGACTGGCTCGGCATCTACTCGCCCCCTTCCTCCCACCACGACAACTTTATAGGATACAAGTTCCTCTCCTCCGCCCCCACATGGAAATCTGGGTCCGGCTCCATTTCCCTCCCTCTGGTCAATCTCCGATTGAACTACTCCTTCCGGATTTTCAGCTGGAACGAGTCCGAGGTCGACCCCAACCACGTCGACCAGGACCACAACCCCCTCCCCGGCACCGCCCACCTGCTCGCCACCTCAGATGACGAGCTTAGCTTCGAATCGGGTCGTGTTCCGGATCAGATCCACCTCGCTTACACGGACGGAGATGACGAGATGCGGGTCATGTTCGTGACCCCAGACGGCGGGGAGAGAAAGGTTCGATACGGTCAGAGGGAGGACTCGCTCGATGACGTGGTGGTGGCACGTGTGGGGACGTATGAAAGGGAGCACATGTGCGATGCACCCGCCAACAACAGTATCGGGTGGAGAGATCCCGGGTTTATCCACGATGCGGTCATGACCCGACTGGGAAAAGGCGTCAGATATTATTACAAGGTAAAATTTACATTTTACTGTTCTAGTTAAATTCTTAACAAGTTTGATTACGAATGTTTGGAACTTGGAAGTGTATTCAGAGTAGCTTTTTTAGGAGGCAGTTCCGAAAGCACTTTAATTTCTATTAAAAGTTTCGAACTTTCGATGTACTTCTAATAAAAGTGCTTTTAGTAAAATCACTCATGAACTGAAGAGAAGTGCTTTCTAACAAGCATTTCAAGAGGACCTGACAGGAAGTGTTCTGTGATCAGGTCGGAAGTGATTCTGAAGGATGGAGCAAAACGCACAGCTTTGTCGCACGAAACGAGGACTCGGACGAAACTACGGCCTTTATGTTTGGTGACATGGGGACTGCAACACCTTATGCAACGTTTCTTCGGACACAAGACGAGAGCATAGCCACTGTGAAATGGATCCTCCGGGATGTTGAAGCTCTTGGTGAAAAGCCCGCTTTTGTGTCCCACATCGGAGACATAAGCTACGCGAGAGGGTACTCGTGGTTGTGGGATCAATTCTTCATCCAAATTGAGCCCCTTGCATCCAAGCTTCCATACCATGTTTGTATTGGAAATCACGAGTATGATTGGCCGTTGCAGCCATGGAAACCGGAGTGGGCAACAATGTATGGGACAGATGGTGGGGGAGAATGTGGGGTGCCCTACAGTCTTAAGTTCAACATGCCAGGAAACTCATCTGAACCGACTGGAACAAGTGCCCCAGCTACACGAAATCTTTACTATTCGTTTGATGTTGGGTCGGTACATTTTGTGTACATTTCAACTGAGACCAATTTTGTTGAAGGAAGCAAGCAATTGGAATTTATTAAGCGGGATTTGGAGGCGGTGGATAGGAGGAAGACGCCATTTGTGGTGGTGCAAGGACATAGGCCAATGTACACAACAAGCTACGAGAGAGGTGATGCTCCTTTGAGGGTGAAAATGCTGGAGCATTTGGAGCCTCTGTTTGTGAAGAACAATGTAAATCTTGCACTATGGGGACATGTACACAGATACGAGAGGTTTTGTCAGTTGGTAAACTATACTTGTGGGAGTGTTGGACCTATTCATGTTGTGATTGGGATGGGTGGCCAAGACTGGCAACCGATCTGGGAGCCTAGACCAGATCATCCAACTGACCCAGTGTACCCACAGCCAGAGCGGTCTTTATACCGCGGTGGTGAATTTGGGTACACTAGGTTGGTTGCCACAAGGAAGAAGCTTACACTTACTTATGTTGGAAACCATGATGGGAAGGTGCACGACACGGTGGAGATTCTGGCTTCAGGCCAAGTTCTCGGCGGTAGTGGAGCCGGTGGAGGCGGTATCAAGTCTGTTAATATCGGTAGCAGTGGTGATGCTGGGGTTATTAGGAGCAGTGGGGAGTCTACATTCTCTTGGTTTGTGAAGGGAGCAAGTGTGTTGGTGCTTGGGGTTTTTATAGGATACGTTGTGGGTTACATTTCATATTCCAGGAAAAAGGCCGTTCCAGGAAGTAACTGGACTCCTGTGAAGAGTGAGGAAACCTGAGCTCCGACAACTGCAGATTGCTGTGCTTGTAAATATTCAAACTTTCTGCACACATTTGGTGTCGGTAGTGACTTTCACTTCCGTTCTCTTCCCGCCATCATCCCCTTATTTCTGCCCCGTCCCTGGATCTTATTTTATTTGTTCGAACCAAAAACTGCGAAAAAAAAAGAGTAGAGGAGAAGAAAATAGGAATGCAAAACTATATAGGCTCATGGTTTTTGACAGATTTGAACATAAAGGCTCATTTTATTGCATGTATATCCCAAATAGGGGGGAACCAGTTATATACATTCAAAAATAAATTGCAAATTTTCTGTTGACTGCTTGCCGGTATTTCTAAGAGTGTTGGCCTTCACTCAAGCAAACGGCGTGTACGTTGATTGGCACCTTTCACTCGAGAGTTAACTTCGTCAATATCGTCAGAGAGATTATCGATGGCTCTGTTTTGCCTGCATTTTTCCAAATTACTTAACAACAATGCAGAGATATAGATGCAAATCACGAAGAAAGTTCACAGCGAAGAACAAAGATATTGACCTGTCGAGTTCATTTCCCATGTCCATAGCCATACCCTTCAAATCCCCCAAAATGTTACTTAGATCTGAAAGTCCATCATCTTGCTTTGCCTTCTCATACTGTTATTCACAAACCAATCCCAAAATAAGTAAAATCGGGAGAGCACGTGGCCACATTCTTGATAATCTTAATCGCAAACACTAACCTCGACTTTCTGCATGGCACCTGAGCCTTCTGGAGGAGGCGTCGCAGGAGCTGACCGCCCTTTCGGACCTAAACCCAACTTTTCCCTCTGCTGTGGGTCAGCTTTTTTGGGTGCAGAAGCTGAGCATGATCACCATACACAAAAAACTTCATGAGGTTTTGAAGAATCAAGAAATGAAGCAAGCAGATTATAACAGAAGCAAACCTAATGACAGATCGGGTCCCGAAATATCCTTGGTCTTCTTCGGCTTCCAAGGCATTGAGAACATGCCTCCAAGATTGTTTAAAATCTTCTCACCCTGTTTTCAGAATGCATCATTAGGTATTTACGATAAAAAATGCTGCTCCTCTTCGGGTTTCATAGTTTCTTGTGTCACAAGAAAAACTAAAATCATCTAGATTACAAAACCCTAACAAGAAGGAGAGATTACCCGACTCAAATCCTTATCGATATCAACAGCCGCCATGTGAGTCCTTGTAATTTGCTCACCCTGCTGGTGCAACATGTCAAGGGTCCTTGTAGCATCCCCTCTGATGTTCTCTGCAATCCTGAGGCAATTGTTGACACTCTTTGTTGTCTCCTCGGACTTGTTAACAGCATATTTCTCTAACTCTTGCATACTCTGCTGCTCTAATGGTTTTTTTTCGTTGCTGAAATCCGGGGTGATAAGCATAGGTTCCGAAGAAGTTCTTCTCGCGGGGTTAAGCGTGTTCTTCCCCTCGTCTGAATCAGCTTGAAAACCTGGGTCTACAGAACCTTGCTTTCCAATCTTTGCAGGCGATTTCTTAAACCCAAACATTTTGCCAAAAAACCAAATAATTGTCAAAGTGGTCACGCCTGCAAAAGATTACGAATTTAGCAATAGAAGATCAAACTGAAACTTGTCGACCGAAAATTACACATGGGTTATGATCAAGAACCACAAATGTACCGAGAAATGTCGATAAAAATCGAAACTTGGCAGTGTTTCTTACACAAACTGCCGCGGTTTTTGGGTTATGGGTTTGGTTTGTGCTTGAAACAAGAAGAGGAATTACTGAAGAAATTGGAGAGAAACAAAGGGTTTTCTATGGAGAAGTATTTATTTTCCTTCTCTGTGGTTGTGAGAAAAATCAGAGAAAGGCGCCGCGAAAAAGCAGAGGAACTGGACGGCTCTAACATCCTCCGAGTCCAAGGTCCAACTTTGAGAGACCGTTGGGAAGGATTTTAACTTCTTCCCTCCTCAATTTTTCTCACTTTTTTTTTTTTTTTTGGTTATTTCTAATCTTATTTTTATGGATAAATAAAAGATTATTGTCAAAATATTTTTGCACGCCACGTGTTGCCACGTGGGTGAACCAGATGGCCACCGAGGACTGTGGTCCATTGGCAATGGGTGGGCTTTGTTGTTGAGCGAAGGAAAATCTCGAATGGTCTTTAATTGGGTCCCTCATTTTGGGTTCAATGAGAGGAAGTGATTGGGTGGCCCAAACCTTTATTTCATTCCAGAATTTGTTTGTTTTAATCTTTCGTGAGAGTAATTGAAGATTGAGACTTCTTTTATCGTTTGTTGAAGAGAAATATCGTTAGACTACCTGATAGTTAGTTTGTTCTAAAATTATTAGGGATCAATCTTTTGTGTTGTGACTACTTTTTCAGTGTGATTGTTAAACTGTCATCTAATGTTTTTAGCTCTTTTCATGTATAATATGTTTATAAATAATGTACCATAATTTTTACGAAATATCTGTAATGTTGTTGACCCATATATAATACTGAATTAGTAACACCAAACGACATAAGACTGTCACACTAAAAAAAAATTTCTCGCCAGAAATGGATGAACAACAACATAATCTCTTAAAAAGGATGATTTGAAAATTGAATTAGCGTAAAGGAAAAATCAAATTCTCAGCCAAACAAAAACACCACAAAATCAAAGTGGCTAGTTGCAATTTGAAGGGGCAAGAGTCACCAAAAGAAGGTGGTAGTTGAGTTTTCTAAAAAAATAAAGAAAAGAAAAAAGAAGGTGGTAGTTGCTTGCATGGTAGGGTAACTTGTTAGGATAATGGAAAGGCCCACTTGTCTTGGCTAAAAGTGAGATCAAAATCTTACATACATTTCAAGAAATTTCAAGGAAATGCAGAAACAATCATCATGCAAATAATTGTGCCAAATTTCCAGTTAAGTGAAAGATGGTTGGTTGAGTTGGTAAGGATCGTTTTTTTTTCACTAGATCAAAGTCTAGGTTCAAGTCTACCTATTGACAATCCTTCTTGATGGGCAATGTAAAAACCAAAAGAAGGGCTAAGATCTCCAAGTCCTCAAGGAAACTTGTGAAATGCTTGAACTCTGGAATGGGGTAGCCTCCCCTCCACCTAAACTTTTTAGGATCAAAAGAACATGGAGCAAGAACAAAAAATTTCTTTAGTTGGACTAGCCAATTAATTGAAAAAAGATTAATCGTGGAGACGTTGGAAAATGACGAATCAAAACATTTCCGTCCTCTCAAACATGAGGAAGATAAGCAGACAAAAGGTAACACACTCTCTCTTTCACTAATTCTCTCCTTGCTGCTTTCTCAGAGGGATACTGAGAAAGCAATGGCGGCAAAGCCGTCAAAGTTCGTCTCAAGCTTCACAGACTCCAACCACAAAAGGAGAAACTCAAGACTCTTCTTTATAACAACCTTTTGTTCTGGCAGCCGAGCAAGGAGGCAGCTTCGTGTGAAGAACGTGACGACTGATGGGAAAGATGTCGCCACTCAAACCCAACAAGGCTTGGTTAAATTTGTTTCCTTTTGATATAAACTTTTGGTTGCAACGTGGGTTTTTTTTTTTTTTTTTTTTTTTCACAAAGTGAAAAGATTGATGCTTTCATAGCCAAATGCATAAGCGCTCTCTACCCATCTCAGCTGAGGTGGGAATTTACTTTGCCATATCAGTTTTAAGTCAAAGGGGTTCATCACAGTCTCACTTTGAAGATTTCATTGCCCCGTCGTTGAAATTTCAATATAGGAGACCAATCATAGGTCGTTTGAAAATGCTTCTCTGGAAAGCACTTCAGCTCAAAAGTGTTTTCTCAGAAGCAAGTTGAAATTCTCTCTTCCATGTATTTTGCTAACCGAGAAGCATTTCAACTTTTTCTATGTTGTTAAAGCACTTTCAATATTCATTCATTTATATAAACTTCATGAAGTTGTTAATTGACGAGAAACTATGAAATTGTTACATTTGGTCAACTGTTTCAGGTAGTTTGGCTACAAATGCTCCAGATTCTTCGTCCATTGCATTGAATATCAAATACCATGCCGAATTCACACCCTCTTTCTCTATCGGATCGTTCGCGCTTCGTAAGGATGCTACGCCACTGCTTAAAGTGTTCGTGATATGCTCATTGTTACTAAGAAAATTACCTATGAGTACTATGACAGACTGAACGTAAGCAGGCATATTATCTCTCAATGGAGTTTCTACAGGTTTGCCATAATCATCTGTCTCCTTATCCTGACGCCGAAAATCACCTCTATTTTCGGCGAACCACGCACTTTATGAGGTAGAGCTCTCTTATGAAGAACTAACATGTCATAAAGCAGGCATATTAGCTCTTCATGAGGTAGATGGTGTTTCTCCATACTTTAATTAGCTCCTTAAAAAAAAAGTATAATGGCCCTATCAAGTGCCGTTTTTGAGGAACCCAATCACTTTTGATCCAACTCAAAGCACAATATTCCGAATCCTGGTTTAGTGTCCTCTCCCTTCAACTAAATGTAAAGGGTATTCCCTCTCTTTCTCATGCTCTTCAAATTGCCTTTCTAAAGGAACTCTTTTACCAATAAATTGATTTGATTTTCCCGAGTTAATAATTAGCTTACTATATTCAACTAAAGTTCAAAACTCAAAAGTTAGCATGCCATTTTCTCCATTAACCATATTTTTGTGAAAGTTATTCGGAGGATCCCCATCGAAGTTCTCTGAGATTCCTAAAGACAAATGTGTTCACCATTTAAAGTGGATTTGAATTTGGAACTGGCATCCTAACATTATGAGAGAATATAATTATAAAAAAAATGCCTCAATTGGAATACGATTCCCTTAACAAAAGTTGTTTTGGAACTCATTCGATCTTTGATTTCTTTGTCCGTTTCACACAATGACAAAATCACCTATCACCTAGAGTTCCTAGACCAGCAACACCACCTTTAAACAGAGAAAAAACTATAGTATTACTCCTACTTTAATAATGCAATGGTTAATTACTGGCCTACTGCTATGGTTTGCAGTGGTGGATTTAGGATTTGAACTTTGAAAGGTCTCAATGTCAAAGATCTAAGTTTGTAGATAGAAACATAGCGTGCAAACAAATTTCAATTTATTAATAAAGATATTTCATCGAACACTAAGTGGGCTTGTTGTCGTCATGCGAACCATGTTGCGCATATGTCAACTCGACATTTGCCAAAGCAATCTAATGAGTGCTATCAAGAGCATTTGTCGAGTGTTGCCTATGCAACTTGTCGAGTGTTGTTGAGATATACCTATCAAATATTACATCAAACACTTGGTGGGTACAAAGGAGACCCATATCAAATATTCTGAAGGTTCCTAGATGACCTTCAGGTGCTTGTTTCCCGGTCTCCTAGCGATTATGAGAACACCTGGATCCCAATATACATCCGCCCTTAGTAGTTTGTAAAATCAATATGGTTCATCTCCATTTAAACAAATTTAAAAAATTTACAGTGCTCAAGCGCATGTGGATGCATATTTTCGTTATTTATTTGGTCAAAGAGTCTAAAGAAATAAACCATAAAATTCTTAATCATATCATGCTCTTGTACATGGTTAAAAAAATACTCCACAAACCGTAAGCAGAAATTGTAGATGCATATCGGGAGAAAAACAGACTCATAGACATGACTTAAAAGCTTAATTGAGCATTATAGTTCTAGTGGGACTTGCATGCCCTAGCTTTATAGTTCACAAATGTGTTTGTTTTGCCCAAGCGAGCTAGCTACATCATGAAGTGTCCGACTTTTCAAGCCACTGATACAGTTGCAAGCTTCTGTTTATCAAGCAGAATGAGAAACAATATGTAGTATATCTGTATATACATTTAAATATATTATATTTTAGGTCTTTTTCTATCCAAAATGGTATATGAGATTTGTATAACTCTTCATTTTGATCTATGAGATTTAAAATCGATAGAAGTGATTTATGAGTTTGACCACCGTCAATAATTTTAGTCATTCTGTAAGAAATCTCTGTTAAATTAGGATATATTTTATACAAAGTTTTAACATTTTTGTTTTCCGTGTCTGGGTTTCTTAAACTTATGATGTGATTGAAGTGGTTAATCAGGCAGGCTCTTTACTATATATAGTAATGCCAATTGTAACTTATACCTTGGGAGGAAGATAGAAAGGAAAAGGGCCATAGAACTCTAGTGCGTGGTCCATCCTTAATTTCATAGATTACAGCACAGAAACAAAGTTATTTGCATTTTAAAGCAGCACCACTTGATAAAAAATGATTCTGTACGATATATATAAAGCTAAAGTTAAAGAGGAACACTCGATCTCCAACAATTATTTGTGCATGAAAGCTAGCTAGCAATTTGGTTCATGCATATACATATTATTTGGTATATTTCACTTCCGACATGCATATATTTGTGTGAGCAGTTAAGATTCTGCAGAACTTATATCTTTTGGTCCAAATGGTTGTGTATGTCCCTTTCAGTGCTAGGGTTTTGCTAAGGGAACTGTACAAAATGGTTGCTCAAGCTAGAATCATGGCATATTTGCCTCCACTATATAGTGAGTGTAATGATTATAATTTACTAACAATGGAAACTTATGATGACATAACACATCTAGGGTTCAATGCTTCTGGTTATTGGGATGATGCCCTGACCTACTTTTTTGTTGTAATATTTATGCTTGTAATAATTTTTCTGTGTTGGCTGTGGATAATTCTTAGCATCTTTTTCTTTTTTATTAGAGTAGAGGTTTAGAACAAAAGGAATAGAGGAAGACTTAGAAAGATTTGGAAAGAGACTTTAAGAAAAGATATGAAGTACTTTTATCTAACAGAAGACACGACGCAAAATCGAGCGCAGTGGCGTTCTAGAATTCATATAGCTGACAAGAGGCAGATGTACATTAGGACCAAGGTGGTCCTAGAACCACCCGGAATCCGGGAAATATATATGTGAAGGTCTTCTGATGACCTTCCGAATATTTGGTACGGATCCTTTTTGTTCTCACCAAGTGTTATATGTAATGTTTACTAATATATCTTGACAGAGACCTGTTGTGCTGATAGCACTCGACAGATTGTCTCAATATATGTTGACATGTGCGCGTCAAATAACAACAAGCCCACCAAGTATTCGACGAAATATCTCAATTAATAAATTGAAATTTTTTGCTTGTTTTCCTCTCTGTTTCTGTCTAAAAATCTTAGACCTATAAGAGCAAGATCACCCAAAATTCAAATCTTTGATCCACCACTATAGTCGACCCGACTTAATGAGATAAAACTTTGTTGTTGTATTATAACATAACTAGCCCTAAAATATAAAGTTTATACAATTATTTTCCATGTCAATCGATGGAGTTAAATATCATGAAAGTGAGTTGGATCTTTTTTTTACGTGCCAACTGCCAACTACATGAAATTGCCTACATTTGATCTATAAAATATATGGAATTATGTATGCATTTATGCGTTCCATTATATTAGGATAGGGGTTACCATAATATACCTCCCCTGTCAATATACATTTCTTGAGAGCGAGGGTAAACCAAAAGTAGAAAAAATAAAAAATAAAACTCAAGGAAAGTGGCCCCTTGCAATATTGATCACAAAAATTTGAGTCTTCATCATATAATTGCTACATAATTAACAACGATCACCAACATAAACAAAAATAATAAAATTAAAACCAATATGAACAGGATGTGCTTGGCCGAAGTTCCTAAAGTTATATTTCTATTTAGTCGGAACCCAAATCGTTTTTTGTTTGAAAATAATAATAAATAAAAAAAGAAGAGAAAAACTTGTTCTTTATCGCATTAATTTGGGCAGTGCTAGTGGCTTCTGCAGAGAATACAGATGCAGATCTTTGGAGATTATGAAAATGAGCATATTGGGCCTCATGAATCATGATTTACCACATTAATCCCACAAAGATTTGATTGGTACCTTGTACATTTACATTCCATACTATTATAATAAGAAGATTATGCTAGTAATTATGCTAATTATGGTGCACCTATAAATTATCTGATCCATCTGTGTAAATTTTTTAATGTTTAATCTAAACTGTTTAGAACAGTAGAATACATATTATATCATTTATACACGATATACTGGCATGCAAATTAATGTATAAAGCGCCTTATTCGCGTAGGTTTGTCTGAGTCATGCATGACAATGATTAAACTACATCAAGACAAAGTTCCAAATCCAAGGAACGTGATATATATAATTGCTTGTTTCTATATGCCATGTGATGTTTATGTAGATCGAGCTGGATTTTGGTATTTTGTTTGGTGAATTCTGAATTTGTACTATTACTTTATCTAAAGGCTGGAGGTAATCCTGAACTGTTGAAGAATTCATGTTTTACGCTTTTAGTGAGTCACTCTCGTTTTTTTTTTTTCTTCTTTAAAGTTCAACATAATGCAGCGCAATCAAGTGCACTGTGCAAACGCATTCAAATAGAATAGCTTTCTGGATCATGGGTTAGGAGTAAATCATCGATATGGCAAGTTGGCACTAAAGCAGCTCTTAGTTGGATGAAAGTTTGCATGAAATCGGATGAGATCAAAATACATAAGAATTCATGTTTTTTTTTTTTTTTTTTTTTGGGAGTTCATTTGAGAAAGAAGCTTTCTTCACCGGTTGTGCCGGAGATATTGTTAGCTTGGACCCATCCTGCCCTGTATATATGCTAGTATAGACATCATAGAGAACCAATAATTCAAAGATTAATTTGCAAGATATTGATCTCTTATTGTATTTAATTAATACATAAAAGAATTAATATTATTTTAGCAAGATAATAATTGATATGAGATTTGTAATAATAATCAAATAAGATAACCAGTGGATCCAGAACAAGGGACGGGGAGAGGCTCCTCACTGTTCTCAACTGTATGCTGAGGAGGAAACCGCAACTACTCTGATGATGACATTACAAATTTTGGATTCCGAGGTTAGACTTTAATTCAACCATGAAATCATAATAATGCACATATACTTTCCAATTTCCATACATTTTGAGGTAACTTTTCAAGTTAAATTTCACAAAATAACTACATATTTATATTAAATACCAAAGGATTTCGGATAAACATACGATAATTAGTCTTAATAATTTGGTATCGAACTCATTATCCATAAAAATCATATCTAAGAGCACAAACTTATAAATAGTGTAACGCCAACAAGATAAAGGCTTAATATTACTACACCAAATATTCATTAATGACAAATTAAACACTTACTAATTGACTCTACCCGGTGGAATGTGTAAAAAACACAATTTTTGAGTCACCCACTTCTAGGAGGGACCCTAATGTTTTAGGGCAGGCGATTATATGGAGTCCTACAATAGTATGATTAAATATACAAAATACAAAATAAAACATTTCTAAATATAATAATAAACATGATAAAATAAAGATATGTATGATATTTTATAGTACTAAGTAAGACAAATGGGATTAGTTAGGTACATTTCAAGTGTCATCCAAATTTTTGGAATCAGAAATATTCACTCAGAATGGAAAATTTTTCTTTTTAAATTTCCATTTCCATTTCAACTTATATCTTGTAACAATCGATCCAATTACCCCAACGTATCTCTATAAAATCCTGTGAAATGACATGTGGGTCCCTGGGTTACCCAGTCTCCACACACCCATCTAACAAAATACATAGTATATTAATTTATATCGTATCTTGACAGAGCAACTTACATAAATTGAACGTCATGCGACAGTAAGTTTATTTTATGTAATTAAGTCCTTCTCACACTTCTACGTAGGTCTTACAGATCATCGATTGCTTAAAAAATAAAAAAATTATAGTGTTCCGAAATATACTATCCACAAAGATTTTCAAAGTTAGCAGTTCTTTATATTTGACCAAATTTTTTTTTACAATGGTTGCTCTTTAACAAGGATTTGCATCATCTTCGGTGCTTAGGAGGCTGAGCCTCATAAGTAAAGCACACGAATTGTTGAATTTTGATCAAATAGATACAAATATTATAATTTTTAAAAAATCTCATATTTGTGACCGTTTAATCAAAATTTAACAATTCATGTGCTTTGCTCATAAGACTTAACCTCGAAGCTGAGGAGATGATTCAAATCCCTTTAACAATACATGGTCTATTATTTTTTATTTTGTAAAAATCGGTTGAAACGACGTGCTTGCTTGCTTGCACGAGGCTCAAATAGTTTTTATATCAATTAAAAAGATTTGGATATCAGTCTCTCTCTCTCTCTCTCTCTCTCTCTCTCTCTCCCTCTCTCTCTCCCTTCCTCCCTCTCAAAAGCCTTGACCAATTGAGGAAGTGTAGTATTTAATTATGAAAACTAATGAAAATAGTTTGGAAATTTTGAGTTTTAACGATAAAAACAAAATAAAATAAAAAATAGCAGAATTGACGTTTTAATATAAAAATGTGGTTTTTCATTAAAGTGAATAGATTTCGTTAAAGTTCCCTATTTAATTTGGTTAATAAAATAATATCCTCCAAGATTTTTTTTTTTTTTTTTTTTTGAGGAAAATAATATCCTCCAAGATAAATATATTTGATTTATTATTTGTAAAAAGAAAAGGACACGACAAAGAAATCAAGGTAAACGGGGATGATGAACTTGGTTAAGTGTTCATCCCCTTATCACCTGTAGCCTGTAGGCATACATTGCTGGTTTGTTTATTTATTTTTTGGTCAAATGGATACATTGCTGTAGCCTGTAGGCATACATTGCTGGTTTGTTTATTTATTTTTTGGTCAAATGGATACATTGTTTGTTGAAACTTAATTTGACAACTGAACCATACTCGTTTGATTTCAACACCTTCTGATTTGATTCATTGACTTTAATTTTAATTAACTACGGTTCATGAAAGTTGATAGCAATACTTCATCGCTCTAATCTAGTCATGTGTATCTAGCATTTACCCACGTGATGCATAGATTGATTATGACGAACTTTACTAAGGAGAAAAATTACGCTATGAATGTGAGTTAGTTACCGCAAGCGACTATGGAGAGCTTGAGAGAGAAGTTAGGGGTGTTGGATAGAGGAAGGTGGGTAAATCAAATTATATATAAATTGATTTAGAGTAATAATGACATAATAGTTAGTTTATCGTTGTCAAATGGTTGTTTATTTCTCTTTGGTTAACAAAGAGTTCTCTTCATATCTAGATATAACATTTACACGACAAACATTGGTGAGATTCGTGAGAAAAGAAAACTTGTTCTCTATGAACAAATATAGAACTAAACGTGGATTCATGACACCGTTTTTTTACATAATTTTTTACACACATTTTTGTTAGGCCCATTCCGTAATATATGTTAATAATTCAGACCATCTACCTTTCAGAACATCATTCATAGATTATCATTGCAAAATTAGACAAATCTAGAATAATTAATACATTCATTTGTAATGAAGAAAATGGATGAATACAGTTCTACAAAGAAACTCTAAACCCTTAATCCAACGTCATTTGGTTTTAGATTTGAGTAATTTTTGGTAGACATGAACTTTGTAGGAAGACCTAAAAGATAGACGATTCAGATCGTTGAAATACATATTACAAAGAGCCCCACAAAAACGTGTGTAAAAGAAGTAGTGCAACATATCCATCTCCTAAAATTTCTCTAAGAATTAACTATAAGTATCATAGAAAAAAAGGAAAATTCATGAAAAGAGTTTGAAAACTTTGCGTTTTAAAGATAAGGACAAAATAAAGAGTAAAGTGAATAATACCAAAATTAACTTTTTAATGTAAAATGTGGTTTTTCGTTAAAATGAACAGTACCGCGGATTTTTCGTTAAAACTCCCTAGAAAAAAGCCACAAAGAAGAGAAAACAAAACGAATTCAAACTTAATCGTACCATAGATGGATTTTTTTATATGTTACACGTGTTAATGTTCTCACAATTATTGGTATGAACATGATGTTACAACTCAAGCAACATGGTTAACTAAAGCCATGAATGTTGAGCATTGGAGAATTGTCTAAGTCATTGCAACAGTCGTACATGTAATCAACATCGTTAATTAAACACATATATTGAAATAAAAAAATCGAGTTTGGGATTCTACAATAAACTTGAAAATAAAATGATGAATATAATGACGAAAATCCTTCACCACCACATGAACCGGCCACATGATTATATCTTCAATACACACACACACACGCATAAAGGGTGGCATTCACAAAGTACCATGCTACTATTCTTCAATTAAGTTACTCAATAAACATCTGACCCATGCAATAATATATATATATACATGATGCATTAATTCCGTAGCCAAAAGACATGAATATAAAGAAATTGAAGAAAAGTACATCTCACTGTAATTAACATAAGGGTAATGCTAGAGAAATCAACTATTTAGATTAAATTTTGTAAATCATATGACGTGTTTATGGTTAGATTAGTACTTAAGTGTTAATTAACATGTTTGTTTCTTACTTTAAACACATCACATAGTGTACAAATTTGATTTAAAAATTTGATCTACCTAGTACTACTTTTCACGGAAAAATACATCTAATTGTAATTAACATATTTTTATTGGAAAAATCTTGTAGTCAAAACTATTTATTCTCGAATAACTATTTAAAGTTCGTATGCCAAATATCAAATGAACCGGCGATTTTTTTTGTCACTCATATGTAGTAATAAGGTTGAAGCATCAAAACCGTTGGATACACGAGGATGGTTAGATAGTTTTTTTTATTGGTTTTTAGCAAAAGATGATATTTAAATTATTATTAAAAAAATAAATGGTTCTCCTTAAGATATTTGTACGATAAAAGTATATTACTTACAATTGAGTGGACAATGAAGTGCACCGAATAAGTAGACATGAGTATTAATTGTCTTCATTGTTTAGATACAAGCAATGTTTGGAGAGAAATTCAAATGAATACAAGAATGAAGACTCTTAGCCAGCTGAAATGCAAAATAGGCTCTTTTCTTATGTATAAACGCGTGGGGGGCCATTTGCCCCGGTCTCTCCTTGGCTTTGCTTAAATCTGAGCCTCCAGTACTATATTTGCAAGGTTGACGGCGATTTTTCTAACTTATCTTTTCTCTCTTCTCTCCCTACCTTCTCTCTTCCTCCATTTGATTCCTTTTTTCCAATTCTTTCCACCTCCCTCCCTCCCTCTCTCTCTATCTCTCTCTCCAAATATTGCAACTGTGCATTGACGAGACTAAGCTTTCCATCCCTTCCTCATAAAGTTCAAAAACTACGCGTCCTTCCCAACACTCACTCACCAAAACCCTAATTTTATCTCTTTTTTTTCTCTCTCTCTCTCTCTCCCTCATCCTTCAAATTCATGCTCAATTCTCACGGCCGATTACAATCCACCACTCCACGGCGGATCGTCCTGATCGATTCTCATGGACGACAACAACCAAAAACGCGATCCACTAACCACGACCGAGTTCACGACTCACACCTGGACTCCCGACTCGGACAGCGCCTACTTCTTCAATACCCACGACAGAGACAACAACATACTCAGCGACTTCGGCTGGATTTTCAACCCGGAAGCCTCCAAACCCGATGACGGCTTCCCCTGCCTCGACCCCATCGCCGCCGCCGCCGACACGTCCGATTTGGCGGGAACTACTAGTAGTGGTCCTCTTGTTTTGGATAACAACAGCAGCAGTAGCAGCGCCGCCTTTGGGAGCCCCGACCCGGCCCCTGTTGTCGGATCCGCTTCGACCAATCCGTCAGTGTCAACGAGCTCCAGCGAGGATCCGCCTGAGAGGTCTACAGGCTCCGGTGGCAAACCACCGTCCGAGATACCGTGAGTTGGGTTTCCATGATTGAGTATTATTTATTAATGATGGCTTAATGCGTGATTAACTTGCTTTTTCGTGGGCTAATACTGTGGTAGGGGATCTTTTAACAAAATAAATAGTTAAACGGTGAAAAATGAAAAATATCAAAAAGGGAGTGCAAAATCTGCAATTGGGGTGTGCGTCCGTACGCTGTAGAAAGTAAGAAACTAGAAGAAGCTCCACTTCATGCAAGTTGGGGTGGCATTTTCGTAAATCCACAGAGATTTAGGGCGTGGCAAAGCAAATTTAACCGAGATGGAAGGGCTTTTCAGGTTTCTAATTTTATGGACGCGAACACCGCCGTAACAGCGGCCGGATGGCGTGCTAAAATTCACACTTTTAGGTAAACGCGTGCGGGGAAAAAAGAGGGAGAATATGGTGCAAGTAAAGCGAGTTTTTATTATATGATTGTTTGTAAATGATTTGGGTTTAATGAGGAACAATAATGTAATTTTATGCTTTCTTTATTTGTTGTAGGGTTTTTTAATATTTTAATATTGATTCGTTTCGTTATTATTGCGTCTAGTGCAGTAGCATTTTCGTGAGTAAGTGATCGATGCATGTGACATATTTGTCTCTTAAGTTGCATTACCATAATAAAGAGGGGGTTGGGTGATGATAATTCTGGATTCTTCTTTAATTTGTGGTCCATATTTTTGGATTTCTTCCTAATAATGGGGGTTTATAATTACACGGAGAGATTTTTCAATGTGCCGGGAATATGGGTTGTTACATCAAGTATTACAATACAGGTGGTTGAACGATACAAGTGATTGAATACTTGAAAAAAAAAAATTCAACTACTGGTATTATGACTTGACCGTGTTCTTGACACACTGAAAATTTCAAAATTACATACACCATCTCACTTATAGTCGCTGACCATGTTGAACCATTTGCTAATGCATGTAAAGTACTGTTTGGAATTTGAGATTTAATGTAATTTTGATAAGAATTACTGGTTTATTCCCTGACAATTTAAGGTTTGGTCCTATACTCTGCAATCCCACCTGATGTGCACTAATTGTTTTTTTAGAACATCAATATATTTTTACACAAGAGAAGATGGAGAGTTAAGCTAAGCTACACAATGAGTAACCTAATTTGATATCAAATTTGCCATCAGTAATTGTTAAAATAAATATATGGTTGTATTTCCAAAAACTCTAGTATTTAACAGCTACAAATACACTTGCATTTTAGATTTAATTAACGTAAAACATAATGCATGATATATATACACATAATACACCACATTTCCCTTTTAATTTTCTGATGAATGTATTAGTTTTCAGTGGTAATTGAAATTTAATTAATAGAGCACCACTCTTTCATTGGTGTTAGTTTTAGTTGGATCACATTAATTAGAAACTAAACATGCACGAATATGTAGTAGTACTTTATATAACATTTCCGTTTAATTTCCAATATATAGGAAATAAAATTCACTTATGTTTTGCCATTTTTCTTTGGATTTTTCAAGCTATTGTTTTTGTTGTGATAATTGTAGGTAAAATATTTTGTAGGAGTAAGGTTAAAATGAAGGGGCCGAAGAGAATCCGGCAGCCACGATTCGCATTCATGACAAAGAGTGAAGTTGATAATCTTGAGGATGGCTACCGTTGGCGGAAATATGGTCAGAAGGCTGTTAAAAATAGCCCCTTTCCAAGGTCTTTAACTTTTGTTTAAATTTTTTTATTTTATTGTTATTTGGGAAAGGTTCGAAACTATTTCATTAGTTTAGGGAGGAAGAAATTTCGAACTCTCATCGCATAAATAGACACCCAACACTCCATCCACTAGGATGTTAGACCTCATGTAGAATCTGATTCATGAGGTATGCACCATTTACATACAAAGCTTAATACACACACACACACTAGTTAAGCTGAAGATACTACGTGCAGCTGCTAGGCAAGCTTGGCTTCCAAGGTCTGTCACCAAATTACTATCTCCACTAAATTAGCTGGCGAGGAACTTGATATTCTTTTCAGTGCTGAATTCAAACTAAAAATGTCGGTTGATTTGATTAAACAACAATTTTCTTATGGTACCCGCTATATATTTCATTTTGAGATTGTTAAATCCTTGTCATCTATAAACATGGAAACATTTTTCTTAATTTCTTACAACTGATAACTTTATTTATGTTTACCCTAAGTTTCTAAGCCTCAGGAATACGTCTAGAGATTGTATAATTTGTGAGCGTGCCATGCCATTATCTACCAACAGAGAATACTTGAATATTAAACAACTAATTTCTTCTAGCTGACAAAATTTACAAAGATGGGCTCAAACAACTTCAAATTGAATTATTGAAACAAAAGAATATTCGAACAGTAAATGTATGTACATGCATGCCTTGTAGTTTTTATATGCACATTCTTACACTCAATCTTTTGTTTAATTTGCAGGAGCTATTATCGCTGCACAAATACCAAATGCACAGTGAAGAAAAGAGTTGAGCGTTCCTCTCAAGATCCCACAACTGTAATTACCACATATGAAGGCCAACACTGTCATCATACAGTTGCATTCCCTCGTGGGGGAGTCATGGGTCATGAATCTGGCTTTACAGGCCACCAGTTGTCTCAGCTGCCTCCAGCCTCACAGTTCATGTATTATCCAACAATTCGACCGAGAGAGATAACTAGTCCTATTAATTTGACCCCAACCTCGTCGCACCAAGTAGTAGTCCCACGTCATGACGATGATCAAGCTGCAGGAGGATCATCCCACTCCACTGACCGTCAGCCAACCCCACCTCTTCCTACAGACGAAGGGCTTCTTGGAGACGTTGTACCTCCTGGGATGCGAAATTGATGAGGACACGGATAAAATGGTAACAATACACATTAATATTTTACTTGAATTATTTAACTGTTGAATGCATATAAAGATCTTTCTAATTTATAATGCCTAAGGAGAATTACTTTCATGACATAACACGTTATAGGAGCAGTGTACTCGTAAAAGTTGCTCTTACGATAAAAGTTCATGACGTCTGTACTTCCTTCTTAACAATCACCTAGCTTGAACACTTGCAGATACATATTAATCACCAGAATATAGGCAATACTACTGTTGGTTTGAACACCCTAAAAGTTAAAAAGGATGATGATGAATTATAGCAACTTCATATTATAGTAATTTTGATTTCTGGAGATGCATGTTACTTTAGGCGCTGCTTGAATGGAAGAATGTAGCTTTTTAAGGATGAGGATCTTCTCCGGATCCTCTTTGTGAGGATCTTAGGGATCCTCATATCATGGCCGCTCATAGTACATTTCGTTAGGTATTATTTGTGTTTAATTTTAAATAAATAAATTTAAAATAATTTCTGACTGTACGATGTACGATAAACGATTAGAATGCAAGGATCCCTAGGATTCCCACAACTTGAATCCGAATAGAATCCAAATCCGCTTTTTAATTCTGAAATCTGTAGATTTAATGTAGAGGTGTTTCCCTTTTTCATTAAATAACAAAAGGGTGAAGTATAATTGAGTGGTTATATTCTTGAGAGATTTTTCAGTATAATTGAATGGGCGTGACTTGGATCCTCACAAAGAAGATCTGGAGAGGATCCTTGTTCATAGTTTTGTGTATTTAATTGTGTGCTTGTGGCTTTTTATGCACCACCATCAACATCATGTAGTTCTCATTGGCTACAAACTTATCTGCTACGCTTGGGATCTAGTGCTAGGTTGCTAGGTTGTTGACTATATCTTATCTTTTGATTAGAAGCATGCCAACTTTAATTATTATGCCTACATATCTTCTTTTCAGCTGTCTCCTCATTCAGCTAAAACAAATTAAAGGAAGCTCTATGACATGATAATTCAATTTTTTTCCCTTAAAGGGCGTTTGGATTGATTATTTTCATCTCCATAGTTGCAATACATATCTGATCATGCAAATGTTATAACTGTTATACTCTCGGAAACCTCCGACGTTATTACAATCTTGTGGGGCGAAACTCAACATTTTTTGTTATGTGAGTTTAAAATTTAACTGACCATTTAATAATCATTTTATTTTTAATTTTAGTTTATAAAAACTATAAACTTATTTGGTAAATGTTTTCAGTTTAAAAAAAAAATTGAAAGCTATTTTTTGAGTTTTCATACATTCGGGGATTTAAAAAAAAAAAAAAACTTAAATGGTTAATTTTTGGTGTGTACTAATAAGAGTTTGAAAACTGAAAATAAAAGGTTGTTTGATAACCAATTCAATTCAGTTTTTATTTTTATTTTTATTTTTTAAACTAAAAACTTGTTAGCAACTATTTTTGGTTTTTCAAAAATTGAAAACTACTATTGAGCCTGGTAACATAGATTTGTAACTATGCAGCACATTAAAGTGATTGGTACTGGCAAAGCTTGAGTTGGGTGGGTAAAGGCGGGGTGCGAGGTTGCATTAAACATGTCCTATGCTACTCAGGTTAGTAAGGCACCCCACTCCCCAAGGGTGGTAGCAAACCAACTAAAATTGAAAACTTCTTTTTTTTTTTTTTTTTTTTTTTTTTTGAGCTTCCAAAACTTGACTTGGTTAACAAATGGGGTGGTTATATTACTCTCAGGAGGTGGTATGCACTAAGACTCGTGCATTCATATATATATATAGATCAAAATATGCGTCAATTGAGAATTTTGGGATTGACCAAAACATTTTAAAAAGTAAAAGGGAAAAAGCTTACAAAAGAAGAAACGCATACAAATTGATGCCGTACGTTCTCATTCTTAATGGCTGCAGTAAAAAACGCAAAACCCTGTAGTGTGGAATAATCCATGAGAAACGCAAATTTCATTTTCAGTGATGTTAATCATGGTTTAGCAGATAATACGTACTTAACTAACCTAAATCTTTGTTGTGTAGGTAGGGCCGTAGGATCAATATTGTTAAATTAGCTTGGCCTACGTCGTCTCTACAGGCCATGCATGCGGGTAGGCTTAGCAGCTGCATTATCTTCAGCTTCTGATCTAGCTAGTATATATTGAGCTTTGTATGTAAATTAATGGATTATACCTCATGAACAGAATCTTTCATTTTTGGTATATATATAAAAAAGGTCATACCCGGTGCACAAGGCTCCCGCTTTACGCAGAGTCTGGGAGAGGTGAATGTCGGCTAGCCTTACCCCCATTTATGGAGAGGTTGAACAAATTATCCCAAGAATATCATATATTTATTCGCAACGTTAATTGCGAAATTTGATTAACTCAAAACTGAGATTTGATTACCATATTCAGGAAAACTAATGAAAAGGGCTTGAAAACTTTGAGTTTTAATGATAAGGACAATAAAGAGTAAAGTGAATAGTACCAGGATTGATTTTTTAGTGTAAAAATGTGGTTTTTCGTTCAAGTGAACAGTACCGGGTGTTTTTCGTTAAAGTTTCCTATTCATTCAGACAACTTTTGAAGACTACACTTTTTGTTTTATATCACATGATATTTTTTCAGACATAGTATCGTTTTAGTATTATTTCATAATATGAATAAAGCATTTATTTAACAAATAATATATATACGTGTGTGTATGTACCATGCATCGATCGTATTGTAATCATTTTGGTAGGTTTTGTAAAGTAATCGTCAGCTTAAAAACCCAGAATTAATCGCCAAACTAAATTTGTATGATCCTTGAAACATATTGTTTTTGCAGGAGATATGTGAATTACCCTAGTTGTATAGTTGTCGGCTGAGTTTGCGTACGCGTTGCTTGGCCGACATTGCTTTTTTCACTCTTCCTTTTCACCTTTGTTTCGTCTTTTTCCGGCAATTACGTACGTAAAGCTTCCTAACCGGCCGACTGGTGTTAAAGTGCCAATTCCCTTACCCATGCGCCATTTACCCGAATTGTTAATTAATTGCCGCCTAATATTCTAAAGCTGGACATGATTAATTTATGTATACCTCCCTGCCTAGCTTTTTCATGCATAGCAGTTTTACAAATTCGGTTTGAGATTCAGAGAGGAACGTACACTTGTTAATTAACTACTAATCAAGTAATGCAGTGACCAGTGGCCCCCTCTTTTTGTTTGGTGATGGCAGTTGCTTTCTGTTGAACATAATTTCCCTTTAAAAACCCTAGAACGTATAAAGAAGTTATCTTACGTTAGGTTGCGGATTAATCCCGTTATAGTTGATATCGTCGTTATTGTGTTTGCAAGTGCGGCTAACTGCAACGGAGTATAACTGAAACATAAAAATCCAATCGATTAGAACTAGATGGTATATATTTTGGTCCATGTTTTAGAAATTATAAAGATGTGGTTAATTTTGATAAATTCCCTGTGTGCATGCATACATTAACAATTCCAATTCCAACTCCCAAAGAGCGTGTGGAGTTGCATGATTAAAATGAAGGCTTTCAACATTCATGCCTGAACAAGTGGCGTGGTGACTACAGGTTCTTCAATGTCAGCAGAGCAGATAGCAGAGGACGCGCGCGTGCCGTATTGAGCAGCTCTCTGAGGCTCTGAGTCGGTGATGAGTGAATGAGCAGCGTAAAGTGGTAACATAGAAATTGAGGTGGTCCAAAAGATGGGCTAAACCTGCCGCTATGTGCGGGAGGGGATATGATCACAGGCCAGGAAATTTCCAGTCTCCTGTCTCCTTGATCGTCGGTGGCATGGAATATGTGTGTGTGTATATATATAGGAAATCTTTAAAAGAAGGGGTTCTCATTTTTTTATAAAAATAGGGATTAGTTGTGGGGTCCACACTACATCGAACTTTAATGATCTGAATCGTCTATTTTTCAAGTTGCATCGCATAGATCATCATTGCAAAATATTAGCTAATCGAAAATGTTTAAGACATCTAATTGGGTCCAAATAAATTAACGAATACTTTGTTATATAAGAAACAATAAAATTTTATCTTGATAATTAAATAGACAAATGGTTTCGGATTGAATTGAATTTTTGTAAGGATGATATATAAATAGAGACTTACAAAATAGACGATTCGGATCGTTGAAGTTCGATGTGGAGGGAGCCCCACACTTAATCCTCATTTTTTGAAAAAATGGGGATCCCTTTACATAAAGGATAAATTTTTAATTGTGACAGGAACATGGATGGTACACAATGTGTTTTTATGTAAGTAGTGGAAAATTATATTTTTTAAGTTGTTATCTTTTTGACAAACATACCCCATTATTTATGTAATAACACGAGGTGTACCATCCCGTGTGACGGTCACATTGAAAAATCTTTCTACATAAAAAGGCTTGTATATATACATAACGTTTATTTTATGTAAATTAATAACATCACGTGACCATATAATTGCCATATAATAAAACCTCACGTTCTCAATGTGCGCATTAGCTTCCCATCAAATCCTCATTCTAACCGTAGCCGCTGTTTAAAGTTATATAGAGTGGTGGAACTGTCGAATCTTGTGGCATCCGCGTTTGTACGCCTAGGCATTCATGGCATCTTGGATGATTAATGCAATGTCACGTATTTTGAGATTTTAATATGTGATTAGTTTTGAGATATCGTCTTGTTTGCATTCTAATTTTGTTTCCTCTCGAAACTGGACAACAAGTGGCAGACCGTATGTCCATATTGTTACTGTGATTTCAGTTACGTGTAACATCCCAATCAATCTACAAATCGTAGCCGATCTCCATCAAAGCAACTGATTGAGAGATTTGAGAGTGACACAACAAATCAAATTATCTTCTTCAATTAACTGAGCCATGTTGGCCTTTCTTGTGGCTGGGCTTTGTTACTTTGTAATCTACAATGTTGCATGAACATAAGCCCATCTACTATAGAAGATGGTTCGAACTCGAGTGTAAAAGGAGTCGGGAATTCAGAAAAATTGTTATGATTTGCTCTGGTCCAGCTTATAAACAAAATTACTCTCTAATTGGGGTTTTTGAGCACAGTTCCGCGCCTAAACGTTCATTCGATTGCAGGAGCACTCTATGTTTTCCAGATCCTGCTGCACTCACTTTGTGATTTTTATTCTTTTTAAACATATTCTTTTGAGCAGCATTAGTCTTTTCAGACGGCTGCTCAAATCTCTTTTAAGAAGGGGCTGCAAGTAGTAGGATGCATAGAGGGACTTTAGTCTCATATTCATGTTGCTGCTTAACTATGAGTACGAGTTGAATCCAGATAAAGCATGTTATTTGTTGCCGATCCGATTTTCGATTAAGGTCATTTCTTGGTGAATGCGATCTACCATAATCTCTTTGATCCTTCATTTATGTGCTAGAATAAAGAGAGATTTGATAGGAAAGTGGAAGAGACTTTTTAATATATGAAAATCATCCACATTGTAGTATCAGAAAAGGCATGATAAAGATGTCCACCCAAAAACAAATAAAAATCAGAAACACAAGGAACCCTAGCCACCCTCAATTGTTCATGTTAGGTAATACATTTCCATCTTCTATGCAGAGATAAAAATGGAAAAAATAGTCATGACCAACCCCACTCCTAATTCTTCCATTTCATATAAACATTTCTCCATCGGAATAAATGAGTCAACTACTCTATCACACCAAACAAATAAGGTTTCATGCCATAATATGGTTACACTTATACATTGATTTAATTAATGGGTACTTATTGCCAGCAGGTTCAGAAAAACAATGGGCCTGGTAATTTGTATAGTAAGTCTTTCCAAGTTGGCCGGGTATTCCAAAATAATTTAGCTTCTCGTATATTCATACTCTTATTTTAGGGGAGGAGATTCAAATTTGGATGAGAGCTCAGTAGGTAAGCATATTGTAACGACCAATTCACCTAGCTCACGTTTGTATCACTAGTATTGTGGATTCTATAAAAATTACAAGTTACTCGATTTGGATTAACAGAAGATAAAACGAGTACTAAAATATCTACTCAAAAGTGACAGAGGTTTGTGATATGATATAGTGACAAGCCAATCCAAGTTGCCTAAAGAGTTAGAGTGTGCAATAATGAATGTTTGGTTTTGAAAGATTTGGTGTTTCCATATGAGTTCATAATTCTATTTACATAAAGCAATTGATACTCCTCTCAAGTGCTTCTTGATTCGAGTTGATGCGAACGCAATGCGCTGACTCGAGCTTTTATTTCCCCATAAGAAAAAGGTGGTCTTGAGGGCTGAGGGCTGAGGTCATCTACAGAACACACACTACACTCAGATGATGGAAGGAACATATTAGTTGGAAAAGAATGCACAAAACAACCTGTGTGTGCTTTGTGAAGAATAAGGTAAATAAGTAGTACTTCGATTCTGTCATGTAGTATAATTAATTTATTCATATGTTATAATTAATGTTTAAAATATCGATACAAGTGAAAATATCAATATTGGTTGATTTCGATAGAAATTATGAAAATTTTGGGATGAATATATCAACTCATTTAGATTAGTGGTAATTAGAGAAAAATTTCTCAAAAAAAATCCAAAGTTCGAAACCTGCAATTGGTTATGGCAAATTTTCTATAGTGAATCGGTAATATCATAGGTGAAGTTTGCATTTCATCGCCCATTTCTATATCGATCCTTGATTTTTCGGATATTTATACAGAAATATCAATAATTTTGTAAATATTTTAAACACCGGCTATAACTTATAACACGTGAATTGAGTATTAATAGAATATTCAAAAGCATAAATTTAGGAAATTATTATTGGCACTCAAAAAATCTAATTGTGCACTCTAGATTTAGAAAGAAAAACATTATTATGAGAGTGCATATTGCATAATTAGATTTTTAGAATGCCAATAACAGTTCAATGAATTCAACGAAAATCAACCATATCATGTGACTATATGCCAATATCAAACAATGATTCTTCCAAACGGATATGACCCTTTTTGACCAAAATTTCACTAACACATATGAATTAAAACAAACTCAAATGCTTAGTGGTAGGTGCTATGCAACCACCTTGAACCAAAATTTCTTCCCCATTGATGAAAAGTGCACAATGGACTTTGATTCCTCATGATTCCACAAACTAATTATTTTTCTTTAATCCAATATTTCAACCTTGATGCTTAAGATATATCCATATCTCCAACAACCCCAAATTCTATTTGCAGAAGCTTTTACTATTTTAGGATCCCCTAATTTACAAGTTGTAATGTGAAACAATTTTGTTTCTTATTTTATAAAACTGAAGGGTGTTCCTTTGTGACCAAGATGTCACGGATTCGAGTCATGGAAACAACATATTTGCAAAGTAAGGATAAGGCTG